CGTTGCTATGAACCGCTCGCTCACCAACGTCCTCTTCGGCGGCATAGCTCCCACAGTTCAGTCCCAAACCAAGGTCGAGGGCGAGATCACCAAGACCACATCGGAAGAAACAGCCGAAGCTCTCGTCAACGCAGAAAACGTCATCATCGTCGTCGGTTACGGAATGGCTGTATCAAAAGCACAGTACGCACTCGCCGACTTTGTCAAAAGCCTGCGTGCCAAAGGCATAAACGTACGCTTTGCCATTCACCCAGTCGCAGGCCGCATGCCAGGACAATGCAACGTTCTCCTTGCCGAAGCATCTGTCCCGTACGACATTGTCCTCGAGAGGGACGAGATCAACGACGACTTCCCGGATACAGATGTCACCCTCGTTATCGGCGCAAACGACACCGTTAATCCCATTGCGCTGGAACCTGGTAGTGCTATTGCGGGTATGCCGGTGCTGCATGCGTGGAAGAGCAAGCAGGTTGTTATTATGAAGAGGGGTATGGCGAGTGGATACGCTGATGTGCCCAATCCGATGTTCTTCATGGAGAATACGAAGATGTTGTTTGGTGATGCTAATGAGAGCTGCAACGGTAAGTTATCGCTTGGAGTGATTCTCCCTTGAGAACTTGCTAACAAGACTTTAGCTATCAAACGCGCATTAGAGGAGAAGATTAAGGGGCTGTAGATAGATTTCGCATGGAGGTTTAAAGTACCTGCATCATAGTCCGTGATCCATACATAGTCTTCCAAGAGAGTGCTTGCATAGTCCACAGCAACAAAGATAGTCTATCACGCAAATACGCTCATTCAGAGCAACCTATCTTCGCTGTCTCCCGCAGGATCACAAATGGTTCGCATTAGATCCATCTGGCCCACTACGAGAAATTCGATGAAGAGCGGGGCACACCCACACCCCTGTCAGCGACGCGCCGTCCAGCGCGACCCTGGCCCGATGACGTACCCTGGGAAACCAATGTATCACCAAGCCAGGGAAACCTGCAAAGCGCAGTCATGTTGTAATAGCTAACGCCTCGTCAAGCTTCCCAGATCACTCTACACTGCACACGCGCATCGTGAACAGATTACCGTATACATACCAACCAACAGATATACTAGACACCGAGAACATAACATCAGCAACATGTCTCTCCCCCTCCTCTTCACGATCCCGCCCTCAAACCGCCATGAGTTCCTCCTGCTTGACACATCCTCCAAGATCACGTTGAAGTCGCTCAACGCGCAGATCACTTCTACAATCTCCTCCAGCCCCAACTGCGCTGAATGTACGTCGAAGAAGACCACCCCATATACCAGACAGCTTGCGACATCTCACTAACATCTAATACCATAGTCATGGCGAAGCACAAGGCCACCGACGGACCCAAAGAGACGATCCAAGAGTTCAGAATACACTGGGATACCAAGACGCGGGATGGAAAGATCTGGCCCGAGTACACTGTCGTGACGGATGAGAACTTTCCGGCGATATTGGAGTTATTGAAAGCGAATCCCGTCATGGGTGTGTTGGAGATTAAGCTGGGTAGCTCAGAGTAGAATAGGGCAAAATAGGACATACAATCACAGAATGACTGGTCACGATGAGACAAAGACGCTGCAGTTGTTTGAGAATATCGTCTTCGTATACATTAGGATGCGACGACGGGAGCATTGCTCTAGCCTAGTCGTGGTTCGTTACACCCGAAGTATATATACATAAGAAAGCTTCGATACATATATATAGCGTCGAAGTGATGTGAAAGGAGAGTGCGCCAAAAGGTAGTCCGGCGTCGAAAGCCAAGTGGAGGGTATCCGTAAATAACCGATGAAAACGCCAATGTGTAAAGAAAATGCCGCTGGTATGCCATACCCATTAGGCTCATGCAACATGTGATGAAAGCGCCGTGTTTGTAAAAGATGATCAAGTGAACAGAATGCCGCTGCTAGGATCGAGAACTGTGCGATCCCTCGTGTGTCACTTGGGCGACTTGTCTGTTGGCTCAGTGATCATCTGTTGCCAGTGTACCAGATCGCGACTCAAGAAGTCCATCATCTGAGTAGTGCTCAAGTTCTTGAACTTCGCCAGGTCTGTATCCTCGTCCTTCTGCTGCTCTTGGGCCGGTTCGCCATTCGCTGGTTGGACTGCTGGAGCGAGGCTTCCGTGCTTCTCCCCTGTCGCCATCTCAACCTGTCGCTGAGCTATGTAGCTTTGCATAGCTCCGGCTGGCCTTCTTATATCGTTCCAGGAAAGTTTCTGCAGCCGCCAATTCTTTGTCTTGGTAGGTTTTTGTCCAGCTGTTCCATCGCTGCTATCATGCCCATTGCTCGCTCCGTTCGTCATGTTTGTTTGTGGGGATTGTGCAATGTCGTTCTTGGGTGAAGTACCATTGGTCGCGGGCATGGTGTCTCTTGAGTACTGATTCCGCCCAAGTCGACCACGAGCCTTCTGTGGTGGACGCCCACCTCTCCGTGGGGCAGGCGCAGGCTTGGGTTCTGCGATGGGAGTATCGGGGATTGTAGCTTCGGTCGCTACTGGGGCCATAACGGGCTCTTCGATGGTAGGGGCAGGTGTGGGCTCGGGTTCCTCTGTGTCTAGCGATTGTCAGCCAAAGCCTTACTTCGTTGAGCACGACATCATACCGTCTCCCTTTCTTCGCTCTGCACGGCCTTTTCGTCGATTCGCTGCTTCGTTTCGGTGACTTTCGCGCTCCTTCTCGCGCTGTTCTTTTTCGCGTTGACTCTTTGCCGCAGCTCCGCGAGGTTTTTGCTTAGGAGCAGATGCCTTTGTACTGTCGTCTTCCGATTCTACCACTGGCGAATTGCTAGGGGATCGAGAGCCGGTCCGCTGTCGTTTGATCTCTGGCTTTGTCCTGCAGATTGTCAGCTAGATGTCTCTAGCGGCACGTTGAGCGACAAGCAAGACTCACTCTTCGCTATCATCGCGGCTCCGCTTCTTTCGATTGCCGTTCTCTGAGGCTGTTCCGCCTTCATGCTTGCTTTCTTCGAGCACCTTGCGTAGCACCTCGTCTTCGTCGTAGGCAGCTCGACTGTTCATGGTCGACCGACGCTTGCCAAAGGAATCTACACTCGCCCTATTGTTGCGATCCTTGTCCCTGCCTGGGTGTCCATCCGACTCCTTGGAAACAGAAGATTTGCGGTTCTTGCCGTGTTGTTGGTCGTAGACGGGGAGGTATCGGGAGTACTTTTGACTAGAATGGCAATCTCGTTAGCTCTCCATAGATAATAAAGTAGTGGTCGCGCAATGGAGGAAGTCTAGGGCTTGAGACCAAAGGCAGAGAAACCAGTAGCGGGGTACAGAGCTCAGATGAGAGCGCCGATAAAGACAAGCACGTACCCTTTGGGACTCGTTGTGACCTTGTGGAGGTCCTTTCTGCACTCCTCGCAGAAGTACTCGTCTGGGCTGGCCGCTTCGTCCATGATGCCTACACAGCCTCCGTGTTGCCAGACCTTGCAGACGTCGCACTGAATGAACAGTCCGCCAAGTTCATCGGCTTGAACCTCTGGGTCCGCGAGAGCAGACATGGACTTGGGAGCGTCGGATGGTGGGCCCGGGTACTCCTGGTAACCACACACGCATCGGGTGACCTCATCCTCTTCTGCGATGTCGTCCTCGAGCTCGTCATCGAGTTTCGCCGACTCATCCTCGTCATTGTCGTGCTCGCGTGTTCGTCGGCGGGTCAGAGGCGGCTCGGGCTGCACACCGTGAGGCGCTTCTTCGGGCTCTTCCGAGGAGAGCGAGTGTGGGGTCGAAGACTTTGGCGGCGATGTCTGTTTGGGGTTGACTCTGGATGCACGATCGGTACGCGCTGATGAGACGGAGGATGAGGAGTTGCTGTGCGTTGCGACGCTGGGTGGGGGCTGGGTGGTGCGAGCCCGCGATGATCGTCGCGGCGACATTGTTCCTGTAGCTGTCGCTATCGGTAAATACAATAGCTGAGCAGTATATGAGCGAGGGCGATGCTGGCGAGCTGGGTGGTGTCGGATGCGCTTGGGAGGGTGACCGGCCGAACGAGGTCAGAGGCGGGAGGAAGGACTAGAAGGACGCGGTAGTGGACCGTGACGTGACGGAAGCGATGCAAGTCAATGGCAGAGGCGTCGCTATCGCGCAATGACGACGGTCTCGTCGGCGACAGTGGTGTCTGCTGGAGCGCAACGGTGACGCTGCAGGTGCGGAGACGGCGGGCCAAAAGCTCCACGAGCTTTAGAGCGCGGCAAGGGAATGGATTGACGACTGGAAAAGAATGCCGAGGTGCGACAGGAACATGATATGGCTTCGAGCGGGCGTCTGGGGAGCTGGACCGGGACAATGCTGTGGGAGTGACCGAGCTGCCAGGACTCGATTTTACTCCTCACGCTCTAGCGGGCGGAACGCGAAATGGGTTCCATTGCCCAGGTGGACCGACACGCCAACCGTAATCCCCGTCACGTGACGTGGGCTCAGCCGACCCTTGCACCCTTAGCAGCATTGCGGATCCGTGCGCGTAGAGGCTGTCGACGACTTTGGGGGCGTACAAGGGAGCGAGACGGAATATCTGCGACTTTGGTCTGGGTACGTTGAGCGCTTTGAGGGAATATCGGTGAGGGGCACAAGGTGCTGGCTGGCAGGTTTCGATTCAGAAGTTGCCCAGTGATCCGCAGCCGATGAGGCAGTCGCGCTAGCTCGCTTCGCGCGAGGGGTCCCACCGCCTGCGTGCTTTGCCACTGGCCCTTGGTTCACGCGAAACACATCATTACCGCTCGAGCGCCTGTCACAATACCTTACTGAAGGGGGGAACTGCACACCCTAAAGCGTACATCGACGCTACTTATTCAGATTTGCTCATTGTTGTTCTAGTGCAGGCTGCAGGCATCTTCGGCCTTTTCACTGTATGAGCTGGGGACATAGGAGTAACGCATCAGTCAAGCTCAGGAATAATACACGCCAAAACTCTTCAAAGGGTATTAAACTTCATTCGCTAAATGTACAAGAATCAATCTATCCACTGAAGTCCTTAGGCCTTGCCTTCGATGATTTCCTTGTGCGTGCCAGCCTTGGCAGCACCGTTGGTCTTATTCTTCTCAGCGTACTTCGCGCTGATGCCAGTCATACCATTGGCAACCTTGTTGTCCTTGGACTTGGCCATGCCGTTGTGCGTTCCGTTGAATCGCAGGTTGGCAATACCGGGGTAGCCCTGGACACCAGTGGCCTTCTCCAGGCGCGAAGCGATATCCTCGGATACCTCCCTGAAGATGGCGATCTGGCGCTTGATAATCTCCTTGTTGGACACGGTCGACATGTGGCCAGAGATGTTGTTGACCCAGCGGTCCTTGGCGGCATCGTCGAAGACCTTCTCCCACAATGTGCGTGGTGCGTTGAAGTCCTCTGGTCGGATCTCGGACAGGAAGGTGATAGCTTCGCCAGTGAAGTTTCCGTGGAGCTTGTCGAGGTCGACAGTGCGCTCCTTGAAGCTGATGGGTTGAATGCTGCTGAGATAGTTGGGCCTCGATCCCTGGTTGTAGAATGCCATGTTGCCATCTCGCTGGAAGTTACCCATGCGGTAAGCGACACGTGGGGAGTTGACCGGCAGTTGTTGGTAGTTGGCACCGATGCGGTGGCGGTGGGTGTCGGGGTAGGAGAACAGGCGGGACTGTAGGAGGGGATCCGCACTGGGCTCGATACCTGGAACCAAGTGTGCGGGGTTGAACGCGACTTGCTCAACCTCGGCGAAGTAGTTCTGCACGTTCTCGTTCAGGAAGAACTCGCCAACCTTGCGGAGCGGGAACTGGCTTTGAGGCCAGACGTGTGTCATGTCGAACACGTTGATCTTCTGCTTCTCCCAGACCTCCTCAGCCTCCTTGGCGGTCATGGTCTGGAACATGACGTCCCAGCCAGGGAAGTCACCCTTCTCGATGGACTGGTAAAGGTCCTTGGTCGAGTAGTCAGGGCCGTAGTTGAAGGAGTCCTCTTGTGTGATGAAGGCAGTGCCCTGCTTGCTCTTGAAGTGCAACTGGCAGTATACCCAGTCGCCATTCTTGTTCTGGAGCTTGTGGGTGTGGCCGTGGTATCCATGCATCTTGCGGTAACCGTCGGGAATACCTCGGTCACCAAAGAGGATCATGAACTGATGGGCCGACTCTGGGTTTTGTGAGGCAAAGTCCCAGAAGGCTGTCGCATCATCCGCGTGGGTAAGGTGGGTTGCAGGGTCGCGTTTCTGGGTATGCTTTTTCGAAAGTTAGTGTCTGTCTCGTGCCGGACTAGCATTGATGTACTTACAATGAAGTGAGGGAACTTGGCGGGATCCCTAATGAAGAAGACAGGAGTGTTGTTCGCAACTACATCCCAGTTGCCTTCGTCGGTGCGGAACTTGACACTGAAACCCCTAGGGTCACGGGCGCAGTCGTGCGAGCCAGACTCGCCACCAACCGTTGAGAATCGAACGGTGACAGGGCAAGACTTGCCTTGCTTGAAGATATCTGCCATGCACAGGTCCTCAAGCGACTCTGTGGTTGTGTAGGTACCATGGGCACCAGCACCCTTGGCGTGAACGACTCGCTCTGGGATACGCTCACGGTCGAAGTGTGATAGAAGGTCGACGAGGTGGTGGTCTTGGAGCAACAAAGGGCCGTTCTCGCCTACTCTTTGGCTTTCGTATGGGTGAGGGTATGGGACACCGTTGGAGGTGGTGTAGATGACATCCTCTGATGAGGCGTTGCGGTCGTCAGCATAGCTGCGGAACTGGTCGCCATTCTTCGAGCCAGTGGGAGCATGCTGAGTGCTGCCATTCTGGTTGCCGTTGGTTGCGCTTGGAGCCATGATGAATGATATTTTGGGTATCGATATGTGGAAAGAGGTGTTTGTGTAAATAAGCTTTCGTCAGAGGCGCCGAAGAATCTTCTTATATGGGATACTGATAACGCCTCCAGCCGCTTCGCATAATTCCCATGTTGAAAACGCATCATCATCGGACTAGCTAGGCGTAGTACGCTCCATGACGCTTAGAGGGTGTCAGTCTAGGCCTACATGCCAACCGGTGCGGGTTAGGTTAGAGCTCCCGTTGCTTGATAGCAAATCGGGAGAAGTGCGACGTCAAAGGTGGTGGCGACCTCGAGGGCGGTGACAATGCCTTCATAGTGATTGGCCCATCTCACGGCGATGATGTGCCTCGTTCTATCTCTTCACGATCTGCAGATGTAGATGTAAGCGGCATCCAGATGCAGACCATTACCAATGGGAAGGTATCTGTAACAAAGCGCGCGGACTGTGACGCGCTGTGGAGTCGAAGGTGCGTGTGGAGCCAATTGGAATTTCCTGTTGCTTTCGGCCCTTTTGTCACGGAATGACATCACTGACACCAAAACCCGTGCACGTGGGCCGCGTTTCCCATGGCAATACTGGGGAACATCGGCAATCGAAAATGCGGAACCTTAACGTGTATTTCGAAATGCACGTGTATTTCTGACGAGGCGAGATGGTTTTCGTTATCGACTTGCCACTATGGTCGCTGCCCAGATGAGGCTCATTTGCGGACAGAAGCGGTCACCGGGGCGATCTGCCACACTTGGGCACAATGCGCCCACAGACCCGCACCACAGCGCGCGACAGACGCTGACACCCGAACCTACTCAGAGTGATGTGCGAACGCATCCGACAAAACTACAGTGACGTAAACGCTTCCTGGTCCTTTCATATCCTTTAACTTCGCAATTATCTCACCTTGTCGCAGTATCGAAGAAAGTTCTTATCAAAACCTTCGCGGTCGGTCCTTCGTCGTTCGCTCGACTCTTCCGTGTGGGAAAGTCTTTCGCGCACCTGTCTCTTTGGGACAAGTGCCATGCGAAATAAAGAAGAGCACCCGTTTCAGCTACAGTCTGCTGACTTCTTTGGAGAATGCCATGCGGCTACCCCACAGTTCTCCAGCGCTCGGCTGTTCTCGTTCCACGAGTATGCACCTCCGGTATTAAACACTATCGATAAGCCTCATCATCCTGGTCCATCTGGGGCTACGGCTAATATATTTCCCATTTTCCATTGGTGCAGTTGACGAGTTTCATATCAGAACGCTTCTTTTGCACCCATCAGTGCCGGAGGCTAGGTGATTTATTTCCTGCGCTTTACCCTTCTGCCCATGTGGTCATGAGTTGTTTAGTTCTGAGCGCCCAGAGGGCGGTGTTGTAAATGCGTATATACAGCAGCGGTGCTGCAGGGACGTGGTCTCATCTGCGACCTCTTACATTACCGCAATAACCGCACAGTCCAAGTAAGCCTCGAGAGATACCTACAGCACGAGCTTTTACGTGGTATCCTTGCAACTGTCAAATACTACCGAGATGTTTGTAACGCCTGTCATCGTTAGTAGCCATGTGTGAGTGTTTGTGTTGACGTTCAATGTCGCAATTGCTTACTTGTCTAGCTTGGATCCTTCTGCTATATATGGCTCCAAGCGAGGCAGCGCAGTTCGCAATGAGCTTTCGCAAAGACACAGTATAGCTTCTTCCGACGCTTCCTTTGGCGGTCTTCATCGAACGTCTTCGACGAGTTCCAACGCCTCCGTTTCGACTGCAGCCTCTTCCACTCCTTCAATCAACAACCAAAATCGTCGTCCTAAGCATCGCAAGACCATTTCGAACAGCTCAATAGCCCGACTTTTCTTACAGAGGAACAAGCCCCAAGAAGTTCCCCCAAAGCAAGCCGAAGCATTGCCCACTTCATCTCCCATAGCTCCTACTCCATCTTCGCCTATGGCTGTTGCGACCTCAACGCCACCACCTGCTGCGGAGTGGCAGTGCTCTGATCTAGTGGTGCGATCTAAGCAGGATGTTTACCACGTCGATAGGTCGATTATGTGCTATCATTCGCGGTGGTTTTCAAGAGTGTGCGCAGTTGTCATGTCGCCAGTATGTTCAGTCAACTCACTAGTCTCAATCGCGCTGACCTGAGCAGAAATCGCCAAAAGGCATCATCGATCTAAGTGCCGACAATCCAGCAGCCGTCGCAGCCATGATGCAGTACTGTTACCAACTGGATTACACGTATCAATTAGATGGCTCGGACCTTGACGTACCCGAGGAGGTCACTCTGCGCTCTCATGTTGACGTATACATGCTTGCAGAGCGATACGGGATAGCCGGCTTGAAGACACTCGCACTCCAGAAATTCGAGGACCTCGCGGCAATTGTCTTAGAAGTTGATGGCCAAGAAGAGCAGTTACTGCATGCAATTCGCGCTATTTACGCACCTGAGCGAACGGCCAATGCAGAGAATCTCAAGAGCGTGGCGATTAAGCTCTGCGCCGACCATGTGCAAGCTTTCATACATGGTACGGGTAGAACCATGGCGCTTGTATATGAGTCAATGGACGAGCTACCAGACTTCAGAGCGGACCTGTTCGACGAGATGGCAACGCGCTGGAAATAGTGTACGACCGGTAGCGACCCTCTCAGTGGCAGTGAAAGAAGCCGAGCCAGTATCCCGCTTTCGACAGCTAGGCAAGCGCGCTACCAGTGTTGACTAGTTCCGATATTACGTGGGCCTACGCTTTTCACTTCTCACTCAGAGATGCGTCCACTGTCCTCAATTCACTGGCACAGCAATAGAGTGTAAGGATTCGACAAACGCTCACGTTCACCACCGAACCGGGGTGATTACTATCAAAACTCTCACTCACGACGACGCGGTCACCTCGTTTCTCACGCACTCCACTTTCCATGCGTGTATAAATACCGAAAATCTCTTCGGAGAGGATCTCCATCCTACCTATCCTCCATAGGCGACTCGATTTGACGGCAGCGAATACCAACAGTACGTCGACATGAATCAGCAAGATCGCAAACGTGCCTTCGGCAATGCTTTTCAAGGTGCTTCAAATCTGTCGAGTCATCCGCATCGCAAGGCCCTCCGCAGTGTCGTCGCCTCGTCTCCTGCTTCGACACCACAAATCTTCTACGCGCCTACATCCTCGTTCGGTTCCGACAAAGAGAACGAGACACTGTATCTGCCCGCCCAGGACAAGTTTACAAAGCCCTTCGATGGCTTCCGACATCGTCTTCAGCTTCCTCCACGCACCTCATCTCTTCGTGGTCTATCGGAGCTGCCTGTCGCCGGCAATGGCTTTGAACAAACCTATATCACTCCCCACATAGATATAGATCAAGGCTCGAGTTCACCGCTGGATCAGGTATTAGGTGCTTATTCCAACGAGCCCGGCCCCATCGTCTTCGAAGACCCAGTCGGAGGCGTGGGTCCGCTGACTCCGAGTGCGCTTCACTTCCAGACCCTTTCACTGCTAGACCCGCCTCGCAGGTATCGGCCAGATCTGACGTCGCAGTCCGCTGTCGATATCAATGCTGCTCGTACCAGTGTCTTCACTATGCAGTCGAGCGATCTTCAATAGTAAGCAAACACCATATACAAAGAGTGTGAGAACAGACAATACTAACACAACGAAGCTGTTTCTCTGAGATCCAGCAGGACGACGTCATGATCTCCTTTGACAAGGGCAAGCAAGTCATGAAGCTCAACAAGTACCTCTTGTGTACAGAGTCGCGCTTCTTTGCACCGATGCTAGACGGTCCATCCATTGTACGTTCCCAATACGCAATCAGCATATTCCAGCATACTAACAACATCAAAGGAAGGTCAAACACGTTGCATCCGCGTCCGCGATGATTTCCCCTACGCCGTCGCAGCCATGATCCAGTACATCCAAGACGGCATCTACATCTTCAACCCCAATATGCGCCTGGAGTACGAGAACATCACCCTTCTGGACCTGCACGTACACGCGTACGTTGTCGGAAACAAGTACGACGTCGCCAAGCTGTGCGACCACGCTATCGGAGAGTACATCAACATCGTCGGAATGGTTCTCAGTATGGGTCTGCCTTCTGGTGGAGACCCAACCGACTTCTCCCACAGTGCCGCCGATTTCGATCACAAGCATGTTGACGCTGACCCCGTCTCGTCGGTTCTCAACTCCTTCCTCGACTCTCTGGTCCTCGTCTGGCGCAACACTGTAGATGGCAACGATATGTTGCGCCAGGCTGTTCTCGAGCTGCTGAAACCTCATATCAACCAGCTCATGCGCTTGAAGTTCTTTCAGACGCTGATGTTGGACTTGACAGGCTTTGGTCGTGATCTTGTTGACAGCCTAGCGGAGGATGGTTTCGACATTCAGGCTTGGCCTCCGATGGGTGGGGTACAGCAGAGGGCTAGGGTCAAATTCGGTACCGCCATCTAGATAGTATCACGCGGTGACAGTGGCGAGTTGTAGTTGAGGATGGCTCATCACATGCGGCATGAGGTCCAGTAGATACCTAGTTAGCTTGATAGCGATCAGAAATGAGAAACATGATAAACATTGGCCTCACACAAGCATGTCACACTTCTTTTCCTAGGTCGATGACTTCGCAACCACATCAACTGATCCTAGCGAAGACGCACAGCCGTAACACATTAAAGCCTCCGCATCCAATTTCTGAAATTGCCCGACCCATGCAAACCAATGGAAAACATAACCATCTCACTACCGTAATGACACCCAAAGACACCCAGTACGGTACCATATCACCTCGCATCCCTCCTCTCCCCTCCCAACCCCCTCGTATGCCTCCCCGCCAAAACAGTCTGCCACTCCGGACTAACTAACATCTCCGGCTCCTCCCAAACCCTGACACCAGCCCCCCTAGACCTCCCCCCGAGCGGCTCGAACGACTCATACCCATGCCGTTACTCATACCTCCACTTGATCGACTTGATCGGCCCATGCTAGTGCCAGTAGTCATACCGCTGCTGCCCATACCGCCATGTCTGCCGCTCATGCCACTGTGTCCCATGGATGTGCCAATTGTACCGGGACCGGCCACGCTGCCGTTCCGTCGACTGTACTTTGTTCCCATACCACTGATGTCGTGTTTGCTGGGAGGATGGTCGACGTAAGACGTTCCTCTGCCGTCGAAGCGGCGGGGGCGGGAGGGTGCGCAGCCCATATTGTTGTGGTGTTTGTTGGTAAGCTTTGTGTAGTATGGAAAGGTTTCCTGTACCAAGCCGAGGTCGGACGGGTAGTGCTTCTTGATGGAAAGCTTCTTGAAGGAGAATTCAGTGTTGAGTTGTGAGTGCGTGTGCTTGGTGTGATGTGACTGATGGGAGTAGAGCAGACTCTTCAGGTTAAGCTAGTCTTGAGTAAGTGATGGAGTAGAATAGTAGTGTCTTGTTGCGTGTACTACGCAGACTGTGGAGTCTTTATGTATACATGGAGTCCATTTTCCCATGTCTATACCTTTGTTTACGGTAGCATCGACGTCAGAGCTAGTGCCCATTCACCATATGACATACGCCATGAACTTGTTTTCAAGACACATGATCCTTGACATGCTGCACTGCGCAAATTGCAGCCTCTCTTACTTGTGTTTACGGCATGGTCTGTGGCTTGACCAGGAAACCGCGAAGCTTGGCGCGTTGGAAGTGTGGCTCAAGCGTCCTGTGATTGGCTGACACGGGCCGAGTGTGGCTCGTGGGTGTGGCGCCAATACACGCGACGCGTGTTCCTCCCTCGCGATATCGACATCTGGTGTTGAAATGTTGAACTTGTTCAGAGGGGCTTGTGTCATTGGGTTCACTCCAGCACACCCAGATTCCTGGGGATTCCTCGGCAAAGTGACAGGAAATGCTGGAAGGTTCAAACTCAATATTGGGATAGCAAAAAAGCCTTCTGTCGAACAGATTCAATACTCATGATATTAGATCATCTACAGTATGTAAGACCCTCCCACATACCCATGCTGTCGTCGCTGTAAAGCTAGGCGCGGAATGGTAGCGAGAGGGTCAGTCAATCTTCGCGATCCGAGTGAGCTCGATCGACCATGGAGCGCAGGACGAGATCTCAAAGAAGATGGCGTGTCATATATAATGGTTCATATCTTAACAAATTTGGTGTGGGAGCCTGTCGCGACAATAGAACCTGGCTTGCCATCGACAAGCTTCCATATAGTCGCTGTAGTGAATGCGAGCGTTCCGCCCACCTTTCCGGCCTTGCCTTCAATCTCGATGGTATCACCATCCTTGGCTCCAGACTGGTATGAGATGTGAATGTCTGTCGACACTCCTGTCTTGGTCCGGTTATCCCAAGCTGCAATGGCCATGCCACCGACCCAGTCTATCAATGTCGCGGAGACAGAGCCATGGATACTGCCGTGCGTGTTCACGTGGTTCTTGGTAAGCGGCAGCTGTGCGCGCACGACGCCTTTGGAGGCATAGGTCAGCTTGATGTCGTCGAGCAAGAACTGGTAGATGGGGCTGCTAGGCTTGCGGCCCTCCCAGAACTGCTGGACATGAGAGAGGATCTCGGGATCGTTGGCTGCGTCGCTGGACATGGCTGATACGGATGCGGGAGAGGTGACGCGTGGAAGTGTGAAGATCGGAATGACGGGGCAGTTTGAAAATAGCGAGGCAACGCGCGGCGGGGTCGGCGATACTATTCAGCGGTCGCCCTGCGATCAACAAGCGGCAGCTGTGAAACGGCCAGTACGCCAGTGTCAGCGGCCGGGGACGCCACATAGCCAGTCTGTCGCACCGGACCATGCTTCACTGCAGGCCACGACTTTCTCTAATATCGCAGACCCCAATGTTGGCCTACACACAACCACCATGAGCGACCCCATAGCACCCCCGAGCCCGCCCCCCTCCGCACCCGACCACGATCCCCATCATGACTCGCTCGGCGATAGCACCGCCGTGACGCCGGATGCACCAAAGGCAGAGGCAGGCGCGCCTCCATTTGACCTCAAGGCCCTCACTGATCGCACCTTACACTTCTTGGCGACTGCCAGCAATGAGACGCTCGGCGCCTGTCTCGCGGGCCTCGGCGCAGGCACATATCTCATTCTCGGCCGCGTCGGGCTGGTCCTCATAGGCGTCGTAGGCGGCGTCGTCCTCCACGCGACATGGGAGGGGCACCATGGCGATAATAAGGAAAATCAGGGAAAGAGCGCCGATGCGCGGAAGAGAGAGTTGGCCGTCGATATCGCCCAGCGCGTCCTCGACTGGCGGAACGACAAGACTCAAGACAAGGGCAAGTCCGGAGACGACAGCGACGACTTCAGTGTGCAGCTGTACTCCGGCAAGACGCTCGACTACTCAGACTTCAAGCCCGAGACTGCCGCTGCGCTGACGGAGTTGACGGATGCAGTCATTCGTGACTATGTCAAGTATGTCCTCCGCGCAGTGCCTAGATACTGTTCTAATACAACGCAGGTGGTGGTACTCACCCCTACTGCCTTCCGAAGACACTTTCCCGAATTCGTGCCGCCAGACTCTGACAGCCTTTGTGCTTTCCATATCTGCACACCTCTCCCGAAAGCGACCAGCCGACAATTTCCTTGACTTCGTGACGCGCTCATCCTCCTTCATGATCATTCTGCTGCAGGAGATTGCCGCAGCCATCCAAGCGTCCCCCGGTGATGTGCCAACCGAAGCGGTTGATATATATCTCAAGATGAAGCGGGATAGCACCCTCGCGAACATCCTCGACCCAGACTACCAGATGAAGCAGTTTAGTGTAGCTGCTGAAGATATCCTACAGAACTATCTTGAGCCAAAGACCTGTAAGTGACTCCCATATACAGATCATGAGCGTACGCTGACCGGCACCTACCCTAGACAACTGCGTACCAGCACGGCTATTCCTGCACCAAATCCTCGCGAAGCTTATACTTGAGATGATCGTCGTGACCTGCTCCAAGCCAGAGTGGATCAACGGGTGGATCGTATATCTTTTGGAAGAGGGCGAACCCGAGCTTCTCAATGCTATTGACGCAGGCGTCGAGGGTTCGTCTGAACAGCTACAAAGTGTCAAGGAGAACGCGGAGAGCGAGTTAGGTGGTGCAGGAACGGCAACCCCCGCTGAAAAGAGGGAGCACAAGCGTGTTATGAGTAAGGCGCAAGAAGCTATGGACGATGCGATGCGGGAAGCACAGCTCCTGAGCCAGATGATTGCCGAGGAAGACGCAAAGCGACTGAAGGAGCAGCAAAAGCAAAGCGCGTCTACATCGACCCTGAACGATGACCAGTCCGAGAGCACCACACAGGGAATAGTCACCCCCTCGTCTTCTGAGGGCGAAGCGCATGGCGATGTTGAGCACTCAGACTTGGCCATATCAGGGCTCTCCCGTCGATCATTCTCAGAGGCCACGCCAGCATCACCACCAAGAAGTTCCGAAGACCCACCAGCTCAGGAGGTAAAGAAGGCTTTCACGAGCTTCGATCAGCTTGTAATGCCCCAACCGCCGACCGCGCTTATGGACAACCCACCTGCCGAGCGACCACCACCATTAACCTTGCACAATAGCACAATGTCCATCTTTGATGACAGTATGCCTGGAGAGAAGGGCACGATCAAGGCCAAGCCTACAGCAGAGTACCTGATTCAGATCGAGCCGAAGTCTAATCATCACACCGGGTGGATGACAGCTCGCAAGTACGCCGAGTTCGAGACGTTACACGAGGTCATACGTCGGATAGCAGCTATCACCGGAACTTCTGGCTTCAACGAAGCACACGCTACACTGCCACCGTGGAAAGGCCACACCAAGGCGTCCTTGCGTGGAGAGCTGGAGCGTTACCTCAACGATGCTGTGAAGTACCAGCCACTTGCTGAAAGTGAAGGGATGAAGCGCTTCTTGGACAAGGAACTGGGTTCAGGAAAGACGCCCGGTGGTGGCTTTCCAGGGATTGGGTGGGCCGGTCAGACCTTCGACTCGGTTGGTAAAGGGATGATGGGAGTACTTTCAAAAGCACCCAAAGAAGTTGCTGGCGGTGGCAAAGCTCTGTTCGGTGGAGTTACAGGCGTACTAGGCAGCGTAGCATCACCACTGGGAGGAAAGAAGAATCGCGAATCGATCAGCAACGCTGCCACTCCGAACGCTTCTGGAAGTCCGCTGAGCCGTACATCGTCCAACACGGCGCCAATCCAAACACGACAAAGTAGAGCCGAGTCTACCGTTTCCGAACTACCCACGCATATTCGATCTCCGAGCACGTTATCGCTAGTAACCAAACGTACATCGATGGACTCTGTGCGCGATCCTCATTCACCCGTCATCGATCAGCAGCCAGGACGCGAGGCGCCCATGGAACGTCGGCCATCATACAACCCTGACGGCGATGGCAAGCGCTCAGGAAGGTCTTCTAGATACGGTTCACGAAGCAACAGTCGCGCACCAAGCATGCGCGAGAAGATCGAAGATCTCAGCCCCATGATGGGAGGTGATCAGCTAATCAACTTACCGCCAATGCCTAGCGAGATCTCAGACGACTACAGCACCATGCGCAATCAGCCAGAACCAACACCACCTCAGAAACCTTCACGGCCATCAACGGACTCCGTGCCCTCACTACCCCGCCGACCATCAGCTACATCGCTAACCTCATCCCCTGCCAAATCCTTGAAGCCACGCACATCACCCACCCACACGCCACTATCCGAGCCCGAAACCACCGTCCTCATCGAGCTCTTCTTCGCCGTCATCAACGAACTCTACACCCTCTCCTCTGCCTGGACACTCCGGCGCACCCTCCTTAACGCCGCAAAATCGTTTCTCCTACGCCCAGGAAACCCACAACTATCCTCCATCACATCACTCCTTCAGACCACCGTGCTTGATGGGAATGCGTCCGACGCCGGCCTAGCCTATCATATCAGAAAGATCCGGGAGAACGGTCTGCCAACCGAAGAAGAACTCAAAGGATGGCCAAAAGAGATGAGCGATGAAGAGAAAGAGAAGTTGAGGGTCAAAGCGAGGAAGTTGCTTGTAGAGAATGGTATGCCGCAAGCGCTCACGAGTGTTATGGGCCAGGCTGCTAGTGGAGAGGCGTTGGGTAAGGTGTTTGATTGTCTGCAGGAGCCTAGGGTTGCGAGGGGTGTTATGTTTGGGTTGACATTGCAAGGGCTGAGGGCTATCACGCAGTAATGCTATATGTAATGGTGTTTAGGCGTTGGCAGAGATGTGGGTTGATCATTTGTTGCATCGACTATTGACACGCTTCTCGAGCTTCTATCCAGAGACGCAGTTTACTACGGTAATGACATTGGAGAGCCGACATGGTATCATCTCCCTAGCCTCTTCTCCGAGGTGTTCGTAGGATGCCACTGTTCATGGCTCCTCTTCATCTCCAATCGGTCTAGCTCGCTTTCTTCAGCAATACACCCACAGCCAGGTCGCTGTGCTTTCCCACCATTGCCTGTATCTCCTCTTTGTGCACAAGAGTCATATTGTTGGAGATGGTCTCGATGATTATAGACCGTAAGCCGGTGTCCGTGGGAAGGGTCGAAGAAAAAACATGGTCGACTGCGGTAGCGAAAGCCGCATCATCCCAGAATATCTTGCAAGCTAGCGTGAAGTTCTTGCTTGCCAGCTCTCTGAGTCCAGTGACATCGTACTTGTCGGCGATCGCGTACATCTTCGAGTGATTGAGAAGTTGGGACGAGGATCCGCGAGCTCCGACTGAGCAGCATTTATCGCATACGAAGGCTTTGCAAGGCACGGAGCAACAGGTGACGGCGCAGATGTGATGTGGGCACACGCAGTACATTTCACAACTGGGCTCACAGGTGTGCGGAAACGCATATGTATAATTGCGTCCGTATGTTGAGCTCCGAACATCACTACGATTGATGACAAGAGGCTGCTCCGGCTCGGGTGGGGTGCCAGAGAACTCTCCATCGTAAGTGCCCAAGTACAGGTAGTGTACGAGAGCGACAATCACTTTGGGTTCGTCGTCAGGGAGATCGATGACGTTTTCTTGAGTTTCCTGTTGATGGTCAGGTTTATCCTAACGCACAAAGAGCTTTCACGCACCTTGCCACCGAATTTGATAGCCCGAGCGAAGAATCCCGCTTGTGTGCACACGATCACTTTGTGAACTTTATAGACATCGTCTCCGCACTTGATGATGAGATCTGAGTACTCGCCCGAGGTGAGACAGCTATGGCGACGGTTAACATCAAGCTCGACGTTTGAGTCCGGCGAACTTACTTTTGCACTGCATTTGCAAAGTTGAGGCGCCGAGTTTCTGCCATTGTTGCGCGTAGTTTTGCTGAGCGCGATAGGGAGAGGTGACAGGTAGAAATGCCAAAGACTCAGTCTGCATTTGACAAGCTAGCGGGGTGGAATTACTCTTTGGGACTCGCTTAGGCAGATAATCCGGAGGTGAAGGTGGAAGTGAAGGCAGGCGCGAACACGGACCACAACACAACCCTACCTTGCCTGAGTTTATGATTAACAGCGCGCAGTTGCTCATCTCAGCTACGCAGCTTGCAAAGACAAGCTCCAGTGTGCTGAACTGCGGTGATTGCCACGGTCGATATCGTTGGGGAGTGTGCTGTAGTTGCTGCATACAAGGCCGACAATCATAGCAAGCATGCGAAACTGGCACCCATATATTCTCCAACGCATCCCTCAGATGGTGTAAATGTCTAAATACAGTATTCGGGATCCAGACGCGAGAGCCGCTAACGTACAGCTCGATGCTTTCCAGTAGTTACGTTGCTTGAGTTTGGAAAGGGTAAGACCCATTGTGAGCAAACTTAGCGATATAACATCATGTGTTCAGATTGGAAGCTGCTGCGTAAGCAGTATGCCGAGAAAAGAGCCGGGCTAAGAATGCAGGGCAAGATGGGGTGCGCAGCGGCTGTGCTGATCAAAGGAAGGCGCCGAAGGCAGGCACCCGTGGACTGAAGGAGCGTTTCCCACGAACTTTGGGTAGACATACAGGGTTAGCGCGAAATCGTTGATAGTGCAAAGACGATTGGACATTGGAAAGTGCTAGACTACTTCACGGCACCATAAGTTCGTGCATGCACCCCGATAAGCAGCCGAAGTTTACCCGGATGCCCCCAAACTTTGGTTAGTCCCTGCGTGATACAGATCAGAGACGCTTTGTATGGCTGGAGCAATCACTGAGCCATTTTTGAAGAGCATGGTGGAGTCGGAACTCCATCCACATCTAAACCATGGTACTGAAATCCCATGGAATTTACGCATTTTCCCATTAGTATATAACACCCTGCTTCTGCTTTCCCTCTTAGCTTTCTTACCATCACAGAAACACCTTACATCCAAAGCCAAAACATTTCAAGGATACTCCAAACCATCCACTACTACCAACCCAAAACCAAACCAACACACCAACCAAAAACCTCCCCACCACAACCAACAAGATGCATTTCAACACCATCATCATCTCCCTCTTCATCACCCTGGGGCTCAGCCTCCCCATGTTCCCCAACCCCCGCCCATACATCCCAAGTGGCATGGGCACCCTGCCCCTCATCACCACCAGCGACTTCGTTGTCGCACGGGCAAACGACAACGATGCGGATGACGAAGTCGTCATCCCCGACAAATGGAGGCACACGCACGGCAAACTATTTGAAGAGACAAAGGCAGAGAAGGTGGTGGTTCAGAAGAGGGATTTGGGGGACTGCAAGGAGGGTATGTGGGGTTGTTAGGGGGCTGAGGCTATTGTGAGCCGGGGATGTCAGGGGTTTGGAGAAACCTAACCAGCCTGGAGCCTACGTTGGCGTTGGGTCACACACTTTGCATGGCTTCATGTTGATGTATGCTGCAGACCTATTTTGACTTTTCGTTGTTCAGTGTGATCTGGTAGCGAGATTCCGATACCGCACATAATACACACGCACCCCTTACAATATGTGTCCTCATGCCTTCGCCTTCTCTGCATTTAACTTGTCGTTGATAGGCTGTAGCATGTTCGTCATGAACTGCTCGTCCAGGTCTTGTCCTGAGCCCACACCCTTCGGTGCCTCCACACCCCACTCCGGGATAAGCCTTGTCCCGCCAAGAGTGATTTCTAGTACACTGCCACATGGGTACTCTTTCTTCTGTAGTAGATCCAACAAAGAAGTCGCGCATGCATCTGGTGTCAATGCTTTCTCTGTAGTTACGGAGTACTGCTTGAGTTTCGCGGCGTCGAATAACGGTGTCGCCACCGCGCCAGGACAGAGAGTGGTAATCTTGACGCCAGTGAGTGACTCGGATGGTCCAAGAGACTTGACGAAGCCCACGACAGCGTGTTTCGTTGCGCAGTAGAGCGGAGCTGCTAAGTTGCCTGATATGCCGGCCACAGACGCCTACTCTGGTGTTAGACGTGCCACCATCGATTACGTGACGACCCTTCGAGTCGACCCTGATACGTTGGTATGACTTACGATGATACAAACACTAGCCCTTTTGCCCTTCCCGAGACTCTTCCTGATAGCCAATCTCGTCAACTTGATTGGATGATTCACGTTGACCTCCACTTGCTTATACCCTTGGTCTTCAGGGTCTTGCCAGAAGTTGGAAAATGGTGGGTCGAAGAGTCCCGCGCAGATGGCGTATGCATCAGGAACGTCGTTCCATTTCTTCTCGCACGCTTCGAAGAGCTTGTCGAAGTCGGCCCATCGCGTCACGTCAGATTGCACGTAGAGGATGTTTGACTGGTTGGCAGCAAAAGTATCGAAATCGGATGTAGTCTTGAGGTCCGCGACGAGGATGCGTGCGCCGAGATCATGTGCTTGCTTTGTCACACAAAGGCCAATTCCTGTTCATATTAGGTATACGCCTCCCTGTCATTGGGGTTGGTATAGGTACCAGATGCGCCTCCTGTGATGAGGAGTATCTTGCCGTTCAGCGGCTGATCGATCGACGTCATTTTGGCCTCACACTTCACGGTCGTGTTGATCTCCAGCAGGTGATGACTGATTATCAAGATTTTCCAGGAGCTGAAGTGCTCTGATAATCAACGTTGCGACTCTGTTATGCGGCAGTCGGATAATAGCTTCCGCGGCCTCGACCGAACATCGCCGTTCCCTTAAATGAGGGGCTACGGGTAACAGAACGCCGCATGGCGGGCGCTACCAGTAGCCGTACGTGAAAAGGCCCTTTTGTTCATGTGTTGTCTGAAAGCTAAGGTCGTGCCTGCGATTGGTGATTGATCGCAGAGTCGAGTGGAGGGGTGGAGCACCATCCTTATCGTTCTACAGGGTCAAGGCGGGGCGTAATGTGCAAAAAGTAAACTGGCGACGTGGTCCGCAGCGACAGGTACAATAATGAGCATCGCATCGGTGGTCCAGGGTAATTAGCAGAGAAAGAGCACATTGAATCGCGCATGCCGTAGATTCGGATGGATGCCGATCAGGGTTCCTGCAGGCAGTGATGCGTCATCGACCCGGCCATCCTCATCCCAGCCACCCGTGGACGCCAGCCACATTTGCAACAACTCAAGCAACAGCAATCATGTCGACGGAAGAATTGATACGCATCACTGTTTATGCGAACCGTAATGATAAACTTTCTGAAGATGAGTTCAACGACCATTGGGCGAACAAACATGGTCCTCTCATCACGTCATGGCTGCAGCGTCACGGCATCGTCAAATACGTCCAAGTTAGCTTTCCCATCAGCTCCCACTGCTTGTCCAGCACCTCATTGTCTTGATACTGCGCATTTCATCTACAAGTACTAATCAATCCAAGTATCATACTACATCAAAACACAAAGCGCGCCTAAGTTTGCCTACTCTTTCGTATGACGGCATGGCGGACTTCTGGGTGCGGAAGTACGAAGATTTCGAGAAGGCTTACGAAGATCCTTTTTACCTGGATGTAGTAAAGAAGGACGAAGAGTACCTATTTGATACTGAAAGTCTGCGTGTTACGGCTGGTGTGGATTTCTGCGTTATCGAAGATGGAAAGGTAGTGCAAGAGCACGCCCATACATTCTAAATTGCCTATTTGCGTAGGCGTATAAGGAGAAGTCACATTCAAATGCGAATATGTGAAAGGCTGATATGCAGATTGGTTCCATCACCTCCATTCCATGGTACTGCGATGGCCCACAGACGGGGAGCCAACCACATCTGCCGCATTTCATACAATTCGAACGCACAAAGACGCTTTCCCAAGAGAAACATTGCAAATTATTCTGGGCACACTTTCCTACAAGGGCGAGGCAGGAGTCTTAATCATCTGCTTCATCTTCCACTCACTACCTCCCGTACACGTAGAGCCTTCATTTCGCGTATATGAACAGACACCGATAGACCTGGTCTCACGATCTCTACCCATTCCGGCTCTTACATTCATTTCTCTTTGTACTGTAAGTCAACCCTCTAATACGAAGACCTTTCCTGACAGTACAGGAAACCGCAAACATGCCCGTCGTCCTCCTTCCCTTCTCAGTAGCCAGCAGTCGATTTGGCATGAACGTCCCGCATGATGCAGCGACTTTCCAACTAGACACGATGACCTTTCCCAATCTTCACGGCTCAACCACAACTGCAACCCCGTCTTCCAGTACTTCGCACAGAAATCTTCAGACTTGGGCTGAGGTAGTGAGGCACGGCGTGCTACCCGGATCGAAGAAGAGTAGGTCGTTATGGGATGCAAAAAATCACGAGCTATGCTTACAATATCCAGTGCCCAGATACATTAAAGGCGAGCCATGGGCTCCAGTGAGCGACGCAGTCGCAGACGCCTACGAAACCCCTGCCATCAAGCCGAAGTTTCACCGATTCCTTGAGTTGCCTACTGAACTCCGCCTCGAGATCTGGAAACTTGCCCTCGATGTCGATACGAACGTGATGGAAGTGCGCAAGGCAGTCAGGAGGGGCAATAACCCCGCTCGACCCGGGTTTCTTCCCAAGTTTTACTATACATCGCGACGAACCTTCGACGAGACGGTCGCCACAGTCATGGAGAATTCGCAGATGATGATTTGCTCATACGCCGACAACCAGTTTGCACGCGCGTTCCTGACCGCAGAGCCAAGCCACTTTGACCTCGTTCGTCACTTCGACTTCAGGTTCTTCAGCCGCTTCAAGGAAGAGTTCGGTGTGAACGCTGATCTAGAACTTGCTTTCGAGTGCAAGGGTCTGCGTACCATCAAACTCAACTTCCACTACAGCGATCTGGTCAGGCTGGAAATCGAAGATGGGTACGACTACTACGAAGACGATTTCACCCGTTGCCCTGCCGAGGGCGAGGAGCTGTTCAACAAGTACAAGCTTGCTCGGATA